ACCACAGTTCTAACGGTACTTGAAATGCCACGATTGTCAAATGTGCAACGTGAACGTGCCGTTGGCATGTTGCAAGCGGGAAGATCTGTTATTGACGTCGCAAGAGCAATGGGATGCAGCCGTCGTACTGTGTATGACTTGCGAGGCCGTCTACAACAAACTGGCACCACTTCTGATCGCCCAAGGTCGGGTCGTCCACGTGTGACGTCACGAGCAGAAGACCGTCAAATCGTCCTACGTCACCTACGTGACAGATTTCTGCCGGCTACACGAACCAGGGCTGAGATGTTTAGAGGTCGACTGTCCTCACAGACCATTCGAAATCGGTTGCGGGCTGCCAATCTCCATTCTCGACGTCCATATCGTGGGCCAATATTGACGCCGTTTCATCAACGTCAACGTCTGCTGTGGGCCCAACGTCACCTCCGATGGACCCAGAGAGACTGGAATCGAGTCGTCTTTAGCGATTAATCCAGGCTTACCCTCAGATTCGCAGACGGCAGGCATAGAGTCTGGGGACGACGTCGTGAACGGTATGCCCAATGTTGTGTACAGGAAGTCGACAGATTCGGGGGCGGAAGTTGCATGGTGTGGGTGCTTTCTGTGGGAACAACCGTTCCCGACTTCTGGTCATCCGTGGAAACCTGACAGCTGCTGCTTACCGCGACCAGGTGCTCACCCCTGAACTCGTTCCTTTCATGGCGGCTCATGGCCCAGGACTACAGTTCCAGCATGATAATGCTCGGCCGCATACCGCGATGTTGACACGAAATTTCCTTCAAAACGCTGGAATCAACGTCATGGACTGGCCATCGAGGTCCCCTGACCTTAATCCAATAGAACACGTTTGGGATGCACTTGGGAGAAGGCTTCGTGGTCTTAGGAACCAACCTCAGAATTTACAGGAACTTGGCGCTGCCTTGCAAGAGCAATGGCGCAGAATCCCCAACCACGTGTTCACAAGCATCAGGCAGTCGATGAGGAGACGGTGTTTGGCAGTGGTGAATGCGCGGGGCGGCCATACACGATATTGAACTGAGACATTTCGCATTTTTATTCTTGTAACTTGACATTCTGTATACCCATGTTTTGGAACGGCGGTGTAGCCTAATGGAACTGATTATGGCACTGTCAGTGTATCGAGTACATCACACAGATCTCAGCAATGAAATAATAACAATTTAACCATCTTACCATCTCTTGTTCTTTTATAGTGCCCTGTAGAAAGAATGTGAAGTTTCTTTTTTGACTCAGTATATTAATTAAACAATGATGATATATGTAAAATGTTGGAACATGGTGAGTGTTTATTAGCATTATCCACACATATCACGTCTTGATCAGCAGACATGGGCTCAACACATTGTACCCATGTCCGACATCGAACTCGGTGCTTTGGGTCAAAGATTTACCCACTTTGCTATCCCACCGCCTTGGACAATGGTAGCCATTACATGAAACAGTTAAAACTTGCTTTAACGCGTTGATTCCCGAGCTGAAGCCTGTTATGCTTGGTCCTTGGTCGAAAAGATGACGTGAATGTCCATTAAAAATAAAAGTTTTATCTTCAAGATCAAGTTACATTCGCCATGTCTTGGCGCACTGTTTTACCAAGGGAGACAACTCCCAGTTCACTAAACGTATTTCAAGGCAAATTGCTGTTGATGTGTATGAAGCCGCAGACAGGCTAAACTTAAACACATGTAATCACCTAGATTAACCCTTTGTCCATGAATATACATTTGTTACAGGGAATGTGTGAAACCAGGGATTTCACGTAAAACCTAAAAGAGTCAGAGATTCCGTGAAAGCACTGTGACCCCCAGGGATTTCATTTATTCCCTAAACTTTCAAGGGATTTCATGAAATTACTGAAATATCGGCTCAGGGATTTCATGAAAGCCCTGCCAGCCAATACTGAAATAGAGAACACCAAATGTATGATGCGAGTACAGAGTATATGCTGATAAAATTCATTTGTTGGGACAAGATACGACTGTTATGTTACCGATTATTACACTTCAGTCCTGCTTAAAAACATTGACAACATCTCGATTTACATTGATCTTTATAATATTGATATAACAAATAAACCTATTTAAACTGAAAAGGAGCCCTAGTGAGTTGGGAGATGAACCTCGGGAAATCTAGACTTGCTTCATTTAGAAAGTGAATTTCAGGGAGGGCTGGGGAAGGGAAAATAATGTGGTTCAGGGACATTGAAGGCCTTTCCGTAGGGCTAAAAAGAGCTTTAAAGTGTCGTTCGCTATACAGCCTCAATACGAGAGCCATGACAACTGCGACTAATTTGAAACAGATGAAGATCTTCCTTTCGAGATCTTCCGCAACCCCTGCTTGTAAGATAGGACTAACGGGGTCGGGGGTCAGACTTGTTGAATTGGTTCCGTCATATAGCTGGAATATTGATGAGTGTGTCGTTGAACTTGACGTAATTACAAGTACAAGAAGACATTGTTCGTTTAAGTAGTTGGCCGTAGGTCATCTTTGGTCACAAAACTATACACATATTTTCGTGAAAAATGAATCCAGAATCCGAGTGTTAAAGGGACTTATAGAAGCTTTTCATGTATATAAAGGGGAGCAAAATCTTACCTTACTCATCCCTCATTACATCTCACGTTACAAGATGAACGTTTTCCTAAATGAAAACAGCCAGGAATGACTTTTTAGGACAATAGTTCTTTTCACTGAAGGCCAAACAGAGCTGTTCCATTTAAAAATAACATATGTCATTAATAAATTATGTGGACACTTTGCCTCACTAAAACATGTGTCACTTATACCATCATTCATCTCACGACTCCGTTAAACTTGAAAGTATCAATCAATCCCTGAAGGAGAGGAGCCGACAGGTGTATTTACACGATGTGTGATTGAGAATGACAATCATGTACATTCTAATTAATAGTTAGTTAATCATTCCAGACGCTCTAAAGACGTTGATGTCGTTCCCGCGAGCTGCCATTACTGTTCTCGCAGTCGCTGTTTGAATCACTGTTATTACAGACCTTACTAGAACTCTCTATTCCCTGCGCTTGAGGAGCTTCAGCATTGAAGGGCACAATAAGGAGAGGTGATTACGCTCCAATCCTTGAGGAAAATTTGCTGTTTAGTTGTGGACCAACTACCTTCGATTTGGAGGAAAGGATTTGCATAGCAAATGAAAAATGACCCCTATTCGTTTTTTCCAGTCGTGTACTTAGATTCGACGTTTTGCTGAGTGATGAGAAATCGATTGTGTTGGTTTTGAAAATTACTTTTATTCAAACAGTGATTTACCTCATATGTTGATTGACAAGGGTCAGAGAAATCTCCAGTGCGTGTTAATCTTGTCTTCCGGAATTAGTTTCGGGTGAGGTCCTTGTCGCTCTTATAGCTGCTGCGAACCATTAATCAAAGCGATCCTACAAAACAGGCGCCCAACGGACATTTGGGATACATAATGAATTGGGTAGACTTTCGGTTGATTTATATGGAAACTGAGTACTTAAGAACATCGCTGGGTTTTGATTTTTTAACTCAATAACATTTTATGAGTGAACGCTAATTGTTTTTCATTGCCTTTTCATTAATGTTGTTGGTCGGAAGAATAATTGGCATGAAAATCGTGAGTTTGTGAAGTTAACGCCATTTTGAACTGTATACCAACTTATAAGCTTCGAGGAAATCCTGCAGTGATACAGTTTAAAAACTTTGGTGAAACCCACGTCCTCGAAAATTGTGCTGATAAACCTACTAGATACATATTGGTTGTGACTGGATTTGAACGGACGATCATAGGTTTGTGGCATGCTCAATGGAGACAACTCTGCACACCGAACTGCGGCGCCTTAGGCGACTCCGTGTCCCAACCCACCAGCGAAGTCCGTTTGATCGAACTATGTTCATGTATGTGATCCGTTACTTGAGTCTGGATATCAACCCCGCCATACTGACATTTGCAAGGGACAAGATGATAATTACATAGCCTTCTTAATCAGCATCAGGAGACAGATAGTAGATGTATATTGAAATGGAAATGTCTCTAATTAACGGGACAAATGAGTGGCATAACACTGGAATTAACGTCTGTAAATGGGCGTCCACATACCCTTTATCATCGCCGGTCCCATCAAGTTCGACATGCGCCTGAATATCATCAATTATTTATTGCACATTAGAATGGTTTTCCGGAAGCAGATTCAATGCATTCCGGTACGTTTTCAACATTAAAGAAATTAACGATCATGCGAATTCTTTGTCAATGTGAACCACAAGTGTAAGATTTGTCGCTTGCAGTAATAGTGAAATTGTAATTGTAATTTCTAAAATACATTATCCCATTACCTGACGGATAATGAAGTTGTTTGTTTAAACAAATACCAATATTTATATAAACAATTTTTTAATATGAGGCAGTCAGATGACATTTTGATGCATTTGATCTTTGCTTATATATTTTTAAATGAAATAAAATAAATTAATATTTCCTTATTGTCAAAAATACTTTGTTAAAGGTACCTTCCTTAAAAATAGATGTTGTCTTCTTTGTAGTGTAGTGCAGATGAATGAGTAAGCAAATGTGTTTTTTACGCCACTTTTAGCGGTCAATTGGCCGAACATTGAAAAGTGAATCAGATAATAACGATATGCCAATTAGGTACTGCGGTTAAGTCATGGATTTGTAAAGACTGTCATTGCTGGTATAGACAGCTAGAGTCTATAATACGATAGCTTGGAGGTACATCTGTTTTCTTCCTTGGGATGGATCGTACAGTAATCGTGAAGGTCCATGCAGCCATAATCTGTGACTTTTCCCAATGTATGGCAATACAAGATTGAAGGGTCCTCATGTATTTGTGTTTCCAGGGGTTTCCCTGGAACGTCGAAGTAGTGAGTCAGTGTTATAATTACGTCATGTCACGAATAAACAGTCTCGTATTAACGTGTGTGTGTTAGAACTAGTACGGGCCTATGTCGATTTTATAGTACAAACCCACTGAGATCATACCAGATCACCAGCTGCTTACTACCTGTTTTATCTCCTTGATGACGAGCGCTCAGTAGGGCAACAGCAACTGCCATCTTTCAACGTCCATTCATTTGAGATATGACATAATTGTTCACTCACTCTCTTAATGAAATTTTATTAAAAAAGACATATCTTGAAGATAACATATTTCAACTAGTAACGTTGGTGTTATCGGGATCGAATTTAACAACAATATCAACACTGTTTGTGGTAGTTAGATGTGTGAGTATCTAATCACCACCTTCATTAGAAGAACATAAGTTGAGATGACCTGGAACAGCATCCAGCCTTAATTATGTAAAGGTTACCATGGAACTGTTTCACTGAAAGTGCAGACTCTGAAAGCACTGACATTTATAACTTGCCATATTTGCACTGAGGCGATGTGGCACTGGCCCTGTCTCAATGTCGCACAAAGACACAGCCCTGAAGGTGTATTATGAACAGAGATGTGTACTAGATTCCTGAAATTAATATTATTAACGGCTACAAAGAAGAGTTCCATCACCACCAGATAGAGGGAAATATACTGTCAGCAATTCTTATTGATTATTTAGCTAAATATGCTAAACTTAGCTAAGGATGAGGAACATTCTAGTGTGTGTACTGACGCATACCACATCATGTCTGTTGTTATGGACTGTATTGTCTTCTGTAGATGACTGACTGACTGGGTTTAGTTTTACGCCGCTTTTAGCAATATTCCAGCAATATCACGGCGGGGGACACCAGAAATGGGCTTCACACATTGTGCCAATGTGGGGAATCGAACCCGGGTCTTCGGCGTTACGAGCCAACGCTTTAACCACGAGGCTACCCCGCCGGCCCTTCTGTAGGTCCTAGAGGTTACCACTTGGTGAAACCAGTACGTCCAGGGAAAAAAACCGGGATTCGAACTCACGAACACATGCTTAGTAACGCGTTAGCGATGCACCTCCACATGCCGAAGTCTCTGACGCCCTGGCTCTGTTGCTCTCTAAATCCACAGGGGAAGTACAGGTATGGTTCTGTTAAACCTAGAAACAACCTGGACAAACCGAACTCACGAACACACGTTTTGTAATGCGTTAGGAATGCACTTCTAACGGTGAATTCCTTAGTCCAAGACGGCTTGGCCACTCATGCTTTTGACACAGATGAAGTAATATTGTTATCTTGTTATCACGCTCTACCATTAGGAGAAACAAATCCTAAATCCTTGCGTTAAGATTATCGATGTGGTGAAATTATAGTCGGAATGGGTTTTGATCAATATGTCAGTTATGTCTTGCCTCTGGCAACTAAACTGAGATTCGCAGACCAAAGGTGTTCTACCATAATCGGGTCTAACCTCGGCATGGGGTCGTGGCTGTATAAAGGATTCCTGCATCGTTAATGAGTGTGTGGAACCATGAACAGTGATGTTCATCAAAGGATCACGGTTAAGGCGTATTACCTTGTGGGACGAAAGCCCAAAGTGATGCAGGTCTAGACGTTTACTACTTCGATAAAACCAACAAGCATGGTATGGTGCTGAAAAATCCAGAAAGTTAATCAGAATGAAACTAAATGGAAATAAAAAAAATCATCGGTGTTTGGCGTGAGCAAGGGACGCAAATTCCGATGACCCGTGTCCCCACTGTTTGAAAGGAGTCATTATAGAACTTTTCACGGAAAGGGCCATTATACCAAAACTAAGGTTTTTCTTCGGGAACATGAAGTTAGAAACGGATTCGTATTTCGAATCCCGAATGTGAAAAAAATATCAGATTCGGGATTCGAATCCCCAATCCCGAATCCGTTTCTAACTTCATGTTCCCTTTTTCTTCAGGGTTTTACGATCAGACCCCGGATGAAGTCTTTCTTCATGGTTGGTCTCCCAATGAATTTATCAAATGTGACACGGTGCGCCTACGATGTAAAACATACTGATTGTGCTCCAGAAAAAAATGGAAGAAGTTTTACATTCTACAACAAAAACAATTCTGTCGTGTTCTGAAAAATGCAAAATGGGTGAAGGCCAAAAGTATAAAGTATAAAGAGTACATAATGAACCGGTCTTAAATTATTGCTCGACCTGGATACCTGTACTTCAAGAACAGTTTGACTCCGGAGAAACGTAAAAACATGGTTTAGCTTACACACTTAACGTGTTTGACTCAAGAAACTCAACACTGACAGATTACTCACAATAACAAAAAAATTATATATCATTATTCAATATTGTATATATTACACATCCCTCAAGAACAAAGGCATGTTCATAAACATATGTTAGACATGAAATATCAAAATTACATCATTGAAGTTCATGAACAAACAGTAACTTATGCCGATCGTAGCCTTGACGACGGAATGGAAGAGGTTGTCATGGTGACATTATTAAAGCATCATACTCCGACAGCATGGATCGCTTTCTACAACATCAATCACTGGATTGTCTGGTCAAGACTTAAATTTTTATACATACACGAACATGTTATTTTAATTATGAAAAGTAATCACAAATATCTCATGAAACAGAGTATAGATTTATCCTGACACCAAACCTAGAGCAACAACTCATTATCAGATTGGTATATGTCAAGTGATTAATAGTGTGTCCACTGGTTACACATGTACCCCGCCTCAAAGTTATTGCATCCACAGTTGCCTATTCTAAACACAGCACGACATATACATGTAGCCAATCATGATCGTAATACATGTTTCAGAGATGTTGGCTAAACGAGTCAATGAGTTAAAGACCTAGGTAACAGTTTGTTCGCATGATGCTTATCTACGCACCCAGTCAACAATAACAATTAAAAATAAGAAAAACGTTGTTGATACTATTTACGTTAGAACTTCGATACATCTGAATCCGAAATAGAGACTGTTTTATGTACCCCGGTATGTCGTTTTATCGCTCCATTCAGTCATGTTCGTATTAAAGCCTTTCATGACCAACAAGCATTACCGCTAACGAATCAACACTACATGGCATTCTTCGATGCCTATAATGTCCAGGTGAAACATCCCTTATGGTAAGTAATGGGCGATTGTACTTACATCCATATTTAATGTTATAGACCTTAAGTAGCAGTTGTAATGGGGAGTGGGGGGGGGGGGGGAATTGATGAATCACTGTGGTCATCGCCAAAGAGAATGGTCATTTGCTGACCCCAGCAATACATGTAGCATATACTCATGCTAAAAGTGCTGTAGCTGTATCAATGTTCGAGGATGGTCTGATTTTTTATTCAATTATCATTCAGTTTTTGTTACAAACCTTGGAGTAAGAGAGTTCGAATTATTATCGTAATATGTATTGCTACAAGTTTGGATTATAATCCAGTCTGTGACAAATTAGTGGAGCGGTGAAACAAGCAGGTTGGCATTTGTTATGAGACTCTTGATAGATATATGGCACAGCAGAAATGACATAACACCAGTAACAAAATAGCGAGAGTTATTATATTTGTAGTATGAACATGGTAAACATTACGAATACCTTTTTACATTTAGTTTGATCTGTATTAAACAATTAATAGGTAGACAGTGCATACGGACCATAGAGAATAAATAGCCATTTATGAAATGTCAAACTGACGGTATGACATGTAATTTGCAGAATTATACGACCAAATGGCAAGGGAATATCTTATAATGGGGATAATAGCAAATTTCTCAAGCACTGACTGCTTCATACCACTTTTGAATACTCAACATGGCCTCAATTCTCAAAACCACGAATAACAATTTCTCGATTCTCAAAAACAATGGATAATCACAAAATTACTCGTATTTTGACTTGACAGTGGTCAAAGGTGGCACATCGTGTATGCGACTCTGAGATGTGCCAGGGTTTGATTACCAGATGTGATCGTTGACTCCTCAAAGTCATCTCGATAATAGGTATAAATACACTGTGCTATACCCGATACGTACAGTGTGCATCATATTTGACATATTCAGACATTCATTCTATCCTGTTTACATTGACCTTTCGCCAAATGCCCTACCCCTCCAAACGCAAAGCTGGACACACATAAAATTCGAAAAGTTCTAATATCAATTTAATGTTAAACGAAGGAATACATACATACATACATGTAATTAAAAAAAAAAAGAAAAAAAAGATTGATATTCACAAGCATATGTTTTTCGTCTTAAGTGTACATTTCCCTTAAAACACATCACTCGTTCCATGGCCATTCGCTGCAACCTCCCCACTTGATAAATGTGGAAGTCAGACCAATACGTTTTCATGTACCTTTGACGGCAACGGGAACGCGTAATAATAAGGTTTGATCTCATCGTTTGATTTAGACATTCACACAGAGTCGATACTGGCTGTTGTCCCAATAATGTGATGGGACTGTCGTTCGCATAGGTACTTGACAATGGACCTGAATGAGAATTAATGCACAAAGTTGTATAACCGGTGATACACAATCAATGTGCCATTCGCGGCGGCCTTTGATCGTAATTGAATACGGAATGGAAGGAAAATACCACTTATGCTGCCCTTTCTAACGAAACAGGTGGCCAGGGATCACTTGCTTTGGCAGCAAGATTGCGATTAGCCTATACTGTCAATTTGGTTAATATACACACTGTCTGGATTGTGAATTCTTTCGATAATTTGGCTAATATCGCATACATGAGATACAAAGCAGCGCACGTGTCAGTATGTTCAAGAGTAATTGGTCATTTGTGACGTAATGTGTGACGTCATAGTATAAGATACTGACACAGTTATCGTGTAGACTCGGATTTCAATAAAGCATTACAAAGATGACTATGAGGAATCACATGGAGTACAGGCATCTCAGGTCATTGCTCTGCTGGTCTTTCTACAGAACCATCATGAGGCATACACTGTGTATCACAAATCGAAACAACACCGATAAGCAGTCTCGAAGTAGAGGTGAGGTGAAATTGGGTTTAACGTCGTGCTTGAGAATTTTTTCGCTCATATGACGACGTGCATGCGTGTGTATGTGTATGTGCGGCTGCTTGTACTAGCCCAGACTGAAGCTGGTTTTATAGTGCTAGCCCACTGAGATACCATGCCGCAGTGAAGCAAGAA